TAAAATCTAATTGGTAATTAAATTTCTCCAATCATATATGTCCAAGTCTTACTATCGTTTTTCGGTGTTATAAAATACGCTTGTATTATAATATAATACTACTTAATATCATTACTTACCTTTCATCGTTATAGCTCATAGTTAAACAACATGCAATCAATCATATTTATTACAATTTTTATAAGCTTAACAACCTTGACAACGGCAAGTGATGTATTAGTTTTTACTGATAGTGATTTTGAAACTAAAGTTAAAGAACACGATATATTACTCGCAGAATTTTATGCACCATGGTGTGGACATTGTATGTACTTTTTCTTTCATCTGAACTATAGAATAATCATTTGAATTTTTTATTTAACAGGTAAACGACTTGCACCAGAATATGAAAAAGCTGCAACAACTTTAACAAAGAACGATCCACCTGTTGCATTAGCAAAAGTAACCAAAAAAAAACATATTTATTAAATTCATAAGAAAAAGCAAAACATTAATTATAGGTTGATTGTACGGTTGAAACTAAAACTTGTTCTAAATATGGTGTTAATGGTTATCCAAGTATGTTTGTATATTTCTTTTTTTTAAATATAGTGTTACCTTTTGTTTTTTATTCTTTGATTTGTAGCATTAAAAATTTTCAAAAATGGTGAAGTTGCAGAAGATTACAATGGTCCACGAGAAGCTGGTAAGTATTCGAAAACAAAAATTTTAAATCAATAAATTCTAATAAAAATATTTTATTTTAGATGGTATTGTTTCAACAATGAAATCAAAAGCTGGTCCATCATATCGTGTACTTGAAACATTAGCTGATTATGAAAAATTTTTAGGACATGATGATCATAGTATTATTGGTATGTTTATTGAAAAACTAAATTGAAAATTAAGATTTTTTTTGTTTATTATTTACATAGGTTATTTTGAAAGTGATGCCCATTCATTAAAAGGTGATCTTGTTAAAGTTGCTGATCAATTATCAGAAAAATTTCGTTTTGCTTATACAACAGCAAAAGAAGTTCTTGATAAAGCAGGACATTTAAAGTAAGTTTAATAATAATTAAGATTGAGAAACTATTTTCGTTTTGTTTTTTCCTTCTAAAGTAAAATTGTTGTTCATCAACCCAAACGATTACAATCCAAATTTGAAGATGCTTTTACAGTTGTTGAAGGTGTTGGTGATAAAATAAAATCATATATTCAAGAAAAAGTGTAAGTTAATTTTTGTTAAATATTTTCTAGTGATATACCAAACGACTTGGTATAAATTATTTAAAAATAGAAGTAAATTAAATTTAATGGAAAATTGCTGTTTTTCTAATCCTATCGAAAACATATCGATTATAAAGTTTTGATTTGATCTCTTAGATATCTATCTTTTGATTTCTATAACTAAGTATTAACTGAAAGGAAAGAAGAGTGAAACCTACCGTGGCTACCAGGCTGTTTCTTCTCCATAACCTGTTCTAATCCTATTCACTTCACAAACGACATTTTTTGCTTATTTGTATTTCATTTCTTGGACGAGACGGGCCAATGTTATTTTAAAATTCGATTTCTGACCAAAGTTATGTTCCGTATAATATGCGCTTTACTAAGGGTAGTACAAACAAATGTACGACATGAATTAGTGTGGGTCAAGAAATTTAGTTTGACTAAAAAAGTATATAAAATGGAAATGAATTTCCTGACCCAATACAATCCAAAACTGTGAACATGATTTCTATATTAATTTTTTTAATGAAAATCAAACTTCTGCACTTATGTCACAAAGCATCGAATGACATTTCCATGCTTTTTTTTTTTTTCATAGTCATTTCATTGGAAGAATGAAATGTTTACAATCAGAGTTTGCGTAATCAGAAGAGAAATACTTGATTGATTTGTAATTTTCTGCAGAACTATAGAATCTGTGCCTAGCGACAAAATTTCATTTAAGCGATCGTTAATTTTCCTCAGTAAACAATGGATCTGAGTTCCTTTCAACTTTATTCAGTTGCATCAAGACCTACTGACAATCATAGTGTAAAATCGAACGGCATTCGACAGCTAGTTATGTTCCCTTGTTAGTTAACCAAGAGCATCATCGTTATCACGCTCATTTCTAGGATAATTTTTTTTAATATTTAATACTATAATTCATTTTATATACTTGATTCTTTTTAGACATGGTCTTGTCGGTCATCGAACTTCATCCAATGCTGCTGATTATGCTAAACCATTAGTAGTTGTCTATTATAATGTTGATTATGTTCGTGATACCAAGGGTACAAATTATGTACGTAATCGTGTGTTAAAAGTTGCTAAAAAATTAGCCGATGAAAATGTTAATGTACGATTTGCTGTCAGTAATGGTGAAGAATTTCGTCAAGAATTATCTCAATTTGGTATTGCTGATGTTAAAAAAGATGCTAAATATGTACTTGCTCGTGGACCTAAAGATGAAAAATATAGGATGACTGAAGATTTCAGGTTTGTTTTTTATTGAATTAAAAAAAAAAAAAGAAAGCTGATTTATATTTGAATTAAAATCTATTTTTTATTTTAGTTTTGAAGCTCTTGAAGAATTTGCTCGTAAATTAGCTGCAGGTGGTCTTGAACCATATTTAAAATCACAACCAGTTCCTGAACAAACTGAAGATGTTAAAGTTGTTGTTGGAAAAAATTTTGATGAAATTGTTAATGATGATAGTAAAGATGTTTTAATTGAATTCTATGCTCCATGGTAAAGAAACTTGATTCTTATTAATAATAATTTTCTAATTGTTATTTTTTTGACTTTTTTTCTATAGGTGTGGTCATTGGTAAGATGAATAGTTTATTTATTTCTTTATAGAATCTTCTTCGTTTTTATTCTATAGTAAATCACTCGCTCCTAAATATAATGAATTAGCTAAGACATTGAAAAATGAAAAAAATATTGTCATGTAAGAAAAAATTAAAAAAAAAAAACATTTATATTTCAAAAAAAAAATTTTTTTTCTTTAGTGCTAAAATGGATGCCACTGAAAATGATGTACCAAGTTCATATAATGTTCGAGGTTTTCCAACAATTTATTTTGCACCTAAAAATGATAAAAATAATCCAAGAAAATATGAAGTAAGATATTTTCTTGTTATTTTAATTAATAATACATTGAAATGGATTTGATATATTTAGGGTGGGCGTGAAGTTGATGACTTTATTAAATATTTAGCTAAAGAAGCAACAGACCCACTTAAAGGTTATGAACGTGATGGAACAAAGAAAGTTGAAGCAGGTGGAGAACTTTAAAATAATAACTAGAACGATTTTGTTTTTGTCTTCTACTTTGTTATAATCATATTCACGTTTATTTATTCCATTTATTATAGTTAAATGTGTCAATTTTTTTTCTTTTTGTTTTATCTTTTGATTATTTGTTTTTATTCTAACTCATATATATGTTTTTGGTTTTAAGTGATATATTATAAACATGCTGATTAGTGAACAAGGAAATTCACATAAAATTTTTACAAAAACTTTTAAATTCAATTTATTCTAATGCGATAGGTTTTATGGATATGACTCTTTGTGAAACACAATCTAAAAGGAGTGTTGAATTATGAAGGTGATAATTTATCAACTACATTTCTGAAACATTTATCGGAAGCACAGCGAAGAAATGTATCCCAAAAGCGATAGAATACAACAATGTTTCTGTGGTAAATTGTGTTGTAATAATTAGATATTCGAGTGGTTGAAATTTCCACTCGGATCAGGCCCAAGTTTACCTCATTATTCTTTATCAAAAGTCTTATTCTTATGAATAGTGATTACACTCCGTAGTACTTAGTAGTATGTATACATATTCATTAAAAAAAGTAGTTCTCAGCAGTACGTATTCAGATCAAATAACAGCTATAGCGATCTGCTCAGCAAATTATATTTCGAGAAATGATATTGTTTTGCCAGTAGATGACAAGAATTATATAAATTTCGTATTTGAAATGCTTTAGTTGGAGCTATCAATTGTTGAATGTACAATATCAAGGATTAGCTAGTATGTGCTCGTATTCCATGGACTATTCATGAGCATGAAAAAGTGTACCAACTATTCATAGGAAGAAGACTTTTTATGGGAACTAGTAAAATAATGTTGAACGCAGTTCGATCAAAAAGTTCATCAAGCCAAAGTTCATACAATCTACTAATTGGATGTATGAAAGTGTCTGCTAATATTGACAGAATATTTTTTTTGACGAAATCATGTTCATCTTCTGTTATACAGCTAGCTTTCTTTCAAACGTGTCCGACACACTGATATTAAAGTGAGAAAAGAGTTGATCTCGATCTGCTATAGATGGTTACAGTCCGACTCGGATTGGATCATCATAAATTGATTGATGTCAGAGGTCATACAAGACGAGTAAAAATTCGAGATGAGATAATGACTTCGTTCTTCTCAATTTTAACACGGTTCGTATAGATTCACCAAAGAGAGTGCGTAATTTCTGAAAAAACCTTGCTTTAATCTACTATTCAGTATCTGTGACCTCAAGTTAAGTCACAAAAAATTGACCGATGGATGAGTGTAAGGATGAGGGCAAATAAAAGAGCTTTGTCCACACCCATACCTATCAATCCTGCGTAAAATAAAGATTAGAAACGTATCCAAAGAGAGAAGATAATTGACTTCTAGGATTTGGATCTCAACACTAGCTACTATAAAGGCTGCTATACTTCAATGTTCCACTGTAGGGTCGATTGTGATTGGAATCGAATATCGATCTACTATAGAGCAATTATCTTAATGTAGTTAATATCTGTCAGGTTTCGAAAAACATTCCATAAGAGAAACTTCAATATTCATGTAACTCGATCAAGTACGTATTAGTTTAATATGTTCTTTTCTAATATCAATAGTTTTATTAACATATTAATTAAGGATCGTATTGAATGATTTTCTGAGCATTAACTTGCGTGACTAATAAAACATAATTCGAAAGTAGAAGAATGTCAAAAATCGTATCAGATCCTAAACTCATATTCCAATGTGCCACCTCCAAATCAATGAATCGAAAATACGTAAATCAAATGAACCAATGATATAACAAATTCGCCCACATTCATCCACTGTTATATGTGCAGCACTACCACTGCCGGTTGCGTTTACAAATGATTTCGAGCTCCATGTTGCATTTTGATATCGATAAGCAACAATTCGTCGATTAGTCCATATCGACGCATAAAACAATGTATCATTGACTTTAGCGAGTCTGTGTACTGTAGGGAATGGATATGCAAGAAATTGCTGAAAAACAATAAAGAAAAAAGGTCATTTTCTAATAATAGAAAAGAACTTTAAATGCTGACCTCAACTGTATAATTTGACGCTAAATTAACTCGAAACATAGTTAATATCATGAAACTTGGACCAATTGCGATCATTATTTCACCATTATTGATAAACATATATTTACGAGTTTCAGCCAAATTCAAATCACCGATGTTTGTTATTTGATTATTTGTTTGACGATCAAGTACGTAAATCTTCGGGTCAAAATTCTTTGATGTAAAAAGTAAATCATTATATAATGCAATGCTCATACTAGTCCACAAAGATATATTTCGTATGAATGTTAAGCTAAAAGGATCAAACCAATAGACTATGCCAGTACTATACCCAATAACTGCTGCCTCATTTGGCAATATTAATATCATAGGCAAATACTCCTGGTCGAAATGTTAGATTTATTATGTTCGGTGTTACATTTTATAGGCGAATGATTAGTTCAGTAATATTGGGTTCACAACAAGCACTGGTATTTGGAAACCTATTTTTGAGAAAATACAGACAAACTTCAGTAAATGTTTTCAATTTGTAAGATGATGAAAACGTAGAAAAATATTCACAAGTATTGTTCGTAAACCAATTCAATGCATTGTAGTTTTGTTGTTCAATAGTAGTTAAATATTCATATACGCATTCTTCACATGTTCGATTCGAGCGAAGACTTGTATTTCATCGATCGAAACCTAATAGTTGAAGAAAAACGTCTCGAATAAATGATATTGAGATGTTATGAGTCTTGTCGATAACACTCAGAAGTAGACCAATCAAGATGAGTCACATTATTAAAATTTGTATACTAATAGTGAAGAATATGTTTCTCAGTTTGTATTGTTTGCTTCCACCTAGATCTGTAGTATCTTATCTAGATAGAGACACGACAAAGGGTAAATTACTCTTTAAACATTCCATACAAGATATATGAACTGTTTTATTTTTCCTCTTCATCAATCGTAACAAGGAACGTCATAGTAACGTACCTTCGACTTCACCACGTCATTTCATCCGAATAATTTGTCTATCGGTACTACATTTATTTAGTTACCTCTAATAAAGACATTTCAGTAGAGAAAAACTTGAATGTGAAAGTAGTTAAGGTCCAACAATATGACTATATTTAACATCTTTCTATTGTTCATTTCAAAACAAGATATTAGCGTTCGTATGATTTTAATTGTTTTTAAATAAATAATAGCTGTTTATGCAGATGACTATCTCTTTCACATGAATATTAAAGAAAATGAATATCTGATAAGTAGAAAGCGTATCTAGTCAATTAAAATACGATCTCTAGCTGAACTAGCTGTAGGACATCATCTCATTCTCTGTGGATTGTTCTTTCATCTTTCTATGACTCCTACTAATCGATGTAATGTTCTTCAAACTATAATGTAGTAAAAACTGTGAAATCTAAGAAATAGTTGGAATTCTCGTACTTTTCAGCATGAAATTCTTGAGCGGAATGTATAAAAACGTGTCTTGATTCTCTATATGACGGTCATCTTGTTAGATTGATTCTAAGTTTTTCTTGAAAGCGTTGTGAGGTTAAAAAAACACTCAAAAAAACACATAAATTCTGAGAGAGAAGTAGACCATTCTCAATTATTCTCAAGCGTTGTTTCTACAACAAAAAAGAATTTCTGATTTCCTCAGCTGGGTTCGCATATTCCGTCGACAGAAATGTCTGTATCTACTAAAATAGCCCAATTTTTCAACTAGATGAGTGAGTTTTGAACAAACTATATGTATATTTGCATTTTAACTTCTTGAGCATATTCTTTACTATTCTGAACTGTAAATATCGTCTATTTTTCATCGAATTATGAAATTTTTCAGAATCGATAAAGAAGAATACCTGAACCGTTACATGAAGTCGAAATCAATACTCAATCAATGGTTAGTTGACTGCAAAATTCCTCTCAATAAAATGAATAATGAATACCACAATTCTGAGAAATCTTCTTTGATGTAGTAGTAGATGTAGTACTTTCCTCGAATTTCATTGCCTTATATTTCGTGGTATGAGTAAAAAACTATTAGGAGTCTCTTCCTGTAGTGCTAAAATGATAGTGTAATACAATTTAAAGACATGGTATGAAACTGCGAATCATGAATTATGATATATCTCGAACATTCCTATTACTTTTAACGATTGAAAAATGTGATGTGCCTTATGTGAAATTGTTCTCATAAAGTGAAAGGAATAAAGATAATAATAAGACACATTAACTCGAAAAGAAATGGCAAACAAGTAAAGGGTACTTTAAGTTATGATGAGAATGATGATAGTAAAACCGTTGGAATGCCTATTTTTTGGATCATCGCACTCAATCATAATGTATGAGAAGAGTAGTGAGTGCTTGAACAATCATTACCATCAAGTATTGATGGATAGATGGTGTTCGCTCTTGACACATTAGTAACGCTTAAAAGAAATTCTACTTCCGATGTAATTATAGAATACGAATCTGCTACAATGAAAATTACATTAAGCTATTCGAACATTTCAATACTATGCAACTTTATGTCGATTGTTACACCTGACTTCCGCTCGTAGAAATATTTAACAACATGCCCTTTGTAGCCATCATCTCTATCTACGGATCTATTCCATTTCTATAATCGAAACTATTCGTTTGATAAGCATCTCAATAAGTGAGAAGAAAGTTCTGTAATCATAGAATGTATCCTCTGTCAGCAATCAATCAGTTTTGTTCTAATGCACTGCTCACAGTAAATACTAATAATCTCTTTAATATGAATGTGTGTTTTGTACCAATACAAGAGTGAAGTGTGAACAACACGAAAACCCTCATGCTCATGTTTATCAGCATTTTCGACTGAAGGAATCAAATTTTTCTACCTAGTGTTGATGAAACTTTTGCTCACATACGATAGATATGATACTAATTAGATGTTTGCATTTGATAACGATTCTGTATAGTGAAAAACAAAAGAAATGAATATGCATAATTAAACATGGATCTGATTTACCTCATCTGTAACAGTTATCCGACATTTTGCTTTCGCAAATTCGTCAATAATAGAATCCATAGCTTCGTTAACAGTCGAGTTAATACAGACAAATTATTCGTAGCTAGTTGATTTGAAACATAAAATTCAACATCATCATTCTTGATAGATACAACAATAGTTATAGGAAAATTTCGATTAACAGACAATGAAGAAATAGCAGTTGGAATTTCTTCGTGATTATCGGTTTCGAACTTGTTGTTGTTATTGGAGTTATAGAAATTATTTGCTTTTGATTTTTTATAAGATATGTTTATCTATATCACTTGTAGATATCCTGTTTGACAGGAATTATGTATTAATTAACTGATTGTTTGTATTCATTATTCTTGAGAAAATGTCTACTAAAAAATTTGATGTTAATATCGTTACATGTGAATGCAAAACGAGAAGAAAATATTTCTGATTATAAATGTCACACATATATTGGACATTAATTATTACAAATAAAATGGCGCCACAATTCCAAACATTGTATTTTGATAGTGCAATTATTTCTTGAAAGAGACCGGCTTGATCTCTCAATCCTCCTCTCTTTCATGATCAAAACTGCTCTTGTCCTCAACCACTTCGGCATATTTTGGCTGCAAGAAAAACGTCCTCCGCAAAGCTCAGCTTTCTAGAGACAATTTCATGTGCCGAAAGAAAACTATTTGTTTTTTCAGTCACGTTGAGATCTCAAGCAAGAATTCGCACCATTAAGAATCAATATTTCTTACAAGAATCTCGAGAACTAAAAATCCGAAAATAGTTGTTGAAACACGAGATCCGAGTATCAACGTCGAACCGATAATTTCTTTTGAGTTCTTCTCCAGAGCCTGTTCGGTTTTCACAGAAGTAGCTTCCGAAAATGACAAATTTTTCAGGACTTTGTTATTTTTTATTTATGAGAAAATTAAAATCAAACAGTAACAAATTGTTATTGTCAAATATCGTTCTTCCGAAATAGCGATATTTGTGCTTGGCATCGCATTTCGTATTCAAGATTCTCTCGAATACCATCTAGTCTAGTATTAATAACTTTTTGTATCTTTTAGTTGTGATATTTGTTGAAGATGACCTGAAGATCAGTTTGAAATATTCATAGAATTTTTTGAAATAAATCCAAAAACAAAAAAAGAATGTTTGATAAACTGAAAGTACGTTTTATTTGTTGTTTTCTGGCATGGATAAATAGAAAAATCAAGAAAAAATAAACGAAAAAAAAATTGCGAGTATATGAAAACAAAGAATAAAGAAGTTGACAATACAAAAAAAGAAATATTACCAGTTGTGAAAATAAAGGAGAAAACTGATTATTAGACAATGTCTGTTGGTTTTTATCATAGTTGAAGGTACCAACCCATGTAAATATGTGATTTCGTGTTGATACCATATGTCCTACAATGAAAACAAAGCTATTAATGAAATCCCTGTACGATTAAAATGACACATCTCTTCATCCTCCTTTTAATTCTTTAGAAATGCAATAAGACATTAGCTCATACATTATAAAGAGACGTTTTTGGATATACAGTTTGCGATCATACATCAATAACACGTGTCATGGCAGATAAAGGTCTCTAGCTAGCGTCCATCATGCTCTGTGTGGAAAAGGAAGGATGGTATGAAATTTTTACCCGTATACTTCAAAACTTATTTTAGATCGTGTTTCACAAAAGTATTAAATTGATTCGAAATCATAAAATACTGTAAATGATAATAAACTCATAGAAGAAAAGATGAAAGATAGAATACATTATCAAGACATTTGTTAATGGGTTATCGTCAACAATCTATATTAACACAACATACCTGTCTTAAACATTCTATTTAAATATGCTTCTCACTTCAAAGAAACGATAGATGAGCACTTACCTATTGCGACACATTATACGTACATGAACAAATAATAAGAAAAGATATTCATATATTTTCTTCAATCTGAAGCATAGATTTACAATTGACTATACAATCGAAGAACGGCATCTCAAGGAATAATTCACATCAAACTTCTATTCCAATACTTGGTGCACTACAAATCCAAGCTTTAAAGACATCTATATTATCGAGCGACACTCGATCCAGGAAGGATTAGCACCAAACACAAGTTCAAAAATTGTGCTCGACTATAAACAAAAATTTGAACTTGTCTATATTATCGTCGAATACTTGATAAACAAATAATTCATAAAAACAATTTTTCCAAAATTTTCTTCAATTCAAAGCAGAAATTTGCAGGACA